GGTTTGAGCTCTTCAAGAAACATATAGACAATCTAAAGATGAATCATAGAGTAAGTTCCACACTCCATAATCCAAATCATGCAACAAGTAAAAGATTGCTAGATTGAATGATATTGATATAATGAATTCATGTATATTATTTTAGGGTACATTTGTTTTGCAATATGATAAATTTGCATGAGTTTCACGCGTGTCATCAACTGAAAATTCTGGTTCAACTCAGGAACCTGGAATTGGTAACAAAGCAATAGAAGCAAACAACATGCATCTGTATTTCCCTTGTGGAATCATAATGGGAGCTCTTTCAAATTGGGCATTTCTTGTGATGTTCTGCAGATATTTCCAACCTCCCTGCTTGTAAGTTTTAAACTGATTCTTACTCAATATTTATGCCATAAAGCTTGAAATCGAAGAAACTTTTTTTCATGACCTAATGATATTTATAGTTTGCATACATTGATAAATAGGTTCATTTGTGATCCGGATAAAGGTGGTAGCAAACACATATGTAACTGTAAGTAACTCTGCAACTGTTGTTTGTATGTTAGCTGTTGACAGTTGAAATCAAACTGTAAAATTGATATTCATGTTATGCACTTATAATATATATATTTTTTCAAAAATATAATCATTATTAATTATATATTATTTTCGTTTTTTAATTTTAAAGAAGCTTAATAGGAAGAAAGAGATTTCATTAGGGTGTATTGATGTATTGGTCTTACGGGGTGTTTGTGATTTGGGATTGCTTATTAAAATGCTTATTGACTTATTTGCTTTTCAAAAAGTCAATGAGTTTTAAAAAGTTTTGGCAAACACATAGTTATAATATTTTGAGTTAGCTTTCAAACCCATCTGACCTCACTGGAAAATTCAAATATTTCGATTTTTAGCAATTTTTACAAAACTGTTGCTCAATCAGCACCTTTTTGTGAATACTAGTTTTGTATTGCATGTTCAAAGATCTTATTCATCACCAAAAATCAAGGAAAAATTAACTTGAGCACTTAACATCATGTATTAAGAGGTAAAAAAAATATCTTGATTCAAAAGCCTTTGGAACATGTTGCAAAAATTCTCAAAGTAACATCAATAATTTTACCAAAATCACAAGAATCAAGTTTCTCCATAATTGTTTGAGCCTTTAGGCATGTTTTTCGACATCAAAAATAAGAAAACAATTTTTCATTGTTATTAAATTGTTTGAAGTTGCATTCTGGAAATTTTCAGCTCAATATATATTTTTTTTATTTTTACATGAAAATAATAATAAAATAGAGTGTTAAAGCATATAAAATACTTAAACTTGTAAATAAATTCTGGAAATATTTGTGGATGACCCTTTAAGTTAATAAAACATCTCTCATGAAGTTTCATCGATTTTTGTTACTGTTTAGTATGGTTTTAATTTTCTTTTTATTTAGCTCTAATAAATCATAAAACCACTTTAGGGAATGTGAAAATATTATTTCGTATTTTTCGCAGCTTGTACCTTATATTTAAGACTCCGAAAAATATTTTGGGAATTTTTGAAAATGTATATCTATTTTTCTTGAATTTTTGTGTTTTATAATGGACTAAAAACAGGAAAAAATAGTTTACTCATCGAAAATTCATGAAAATTTACCAGAAACTCTTATAATATGTTAGGATGATAAATAAAATTTTTGATGATTTTTATCTTCTGTATGCTATTTTTCCTCTATTTTCCCAAGATTTAATACACTTAAATGTACAAAAATCAGAAAAATTGTGTTAAACTTTTTGAAAACACATATTAATATTTTTCCTAGATTATGTACACTGTAAAATAGTTACACAAAAAATTACAAGAATATTTCATGATAATTTACTATTTTCCATGATTTTATGATTATTCATGGAATTAAATGGTGAAAAATAGTTAGACAAATCAATAATTCAAGAAAAATTTATCTTAAGGTGTTTGACTTCAATTAAAAATGAAATACAAAGTTTTGGAAAGTTTAGAACTAAATTGATTTCGTTTTGATTATTTAATCATTGGAACACCTCTAAAATGTTAAATATTAACATTTCAATAATGGAATTTTCCACTTAAATTGTTATATAACAATTGATTCTTTGAAACTTAATTTCCACAGAAAAATGTTTGTAACTTATCAATATTAAATTTTGACACATTATTGGCATAATTCTATTGTAGTAGTAAGTATACTAGTATTAGATTTCAATTAGAGACTCATTAGTGTGTAACATCGTTGTAGGAAAACGATAGTGGTAGTGGTACGAGTGGAGCGTAGATCAAGGCATCATTTGCATCATCTCAATGTATTGTGAGTATTCACCACTCCCCTATTTTCGGTTTTTAAATGTTTTGGGGTGGAAAAGCATGTCCTAAACTATTTATGCTCATTGTATTTATTTGACTCGTATATAAATTGGTTGCTTATTTTGCATATTGTGAGTATTCACGCACTCCCCTATTTTCAGTTTTTATGTTTTGGGGTGGAAAAGCATGTCCCGAAAAACTATTATTTGAATGTTGTATTTAAATTGATTTGTATCAAACATGATTGCTATTTTATTGCTATGTCTCTCTATGTATGTCTATGCAACACGGAACATGAGAACTTATCGTACTAAGGCCCTTCCCTTATCTCTAACCATTAACTCTTTGAGCCAATGGTCATTATGGATAGCGCTATTAGGAATTGACAACTCCTCACTCGCCCTATTGCTGGAGTGCATGATACCATATTCATCTATGGAACGATAAGCATAGATCTTGATAGGGCTTCAGTCATAGGTTTGGTTGAGAACTCATTGTTTGCTCATACACATACAAACTCGTTACTCATTATAGCAATAAACTTGTTATTTATTATGGCAATAAACTCGTTTATCAATTATAGCAATCAACTTTGTTTCTCATTATAGCAATGAACTTTGTTTCTCATTATAGCAATGAATTCTATTTCTCATTACAACAACGAACTTTTACTACTGGAAACTTATATACATGTTTTAGCAATGAAATTGTTTGCTCATTGTAGCTACGAAATTGACTGCTCATTTTAGCAATGAAACTTGTTTACTCGTTTGAGTAACGAATTTTATCTTCCATGAGAATATGAACGTTGCATCTCATTTGGGCACATACTTTATCTCTCATGATGACAAAGAACTTTGTTTTTTTGTACAAACTTATTTTCTCAATTTAACAATATACTTTTATTATTGGGAAACTTTATCAAAACATTGATTTCAATTCATGGAACCAATATTATTTTGTTTTATCTGTGAGTACACACCAACTAATTTTTTATAGTTTACGCTCGTTTTACATGCTTTTTCAGGAATCATCAAGTAAGTGGCACTTAGGGACAATCACTTTAGGAGCATTCGCATGTATTGTATTTCATTTACATTGTAATCTTTTTAAAATTTGTTCAAACCCATTGTAAATTTGTAATGATTTTTAATACTATGGTTGGTGTTATCTTTTAACTTTTGCTATGAAACCCTTTATACTGCCACGCCTCGTGTTTCCGCTTTAGCGGGGTGTGACATAAGGTGTGGTGGAGTTTTTACCACTGACAAGCTTAGGTGGCAACTTTTATCGACGGTGAACACGCCCCCTCAACCCACTTTTTTTTGTTGGTGGAAAATCTCATTCACCGATGGAAAATATAAGGCAAAAATGCCCCCCCCCCCTCTCTATTTACCATAAACACCACCCCTACCCTTTTACATTCAATGACAGTTAGTGAGGTGGAGGATGGTGGAGCTTAGGTGGAGTGTGGTGCCATCAGCACCACACCTTTTAGTCTAATTAATTAAGGAGTATATTTGAAAAGCTAGTTGTTAGCTGAAAAGCTAGCTGATAGCTGAAAAGTTAGCTGTTAGCGGAAGTGCTAGTTGATGTAAGTTAAATTGTATTACAGAAGGTGTCGTATTTATCTCTTTAAATCCTAATTTTAATCATTTTTGTCATTTTTTTTTTCTTTCTCGTTCTCTTATTTCATCACCTAATTCACTACTAAGTTTTGTTTAACCTCTGTTTCATCTCTCGTTCGAAGGATTTTACTAATCTCATAACAAGAAGCTTGGAAGAAAACAAACCATAAGGGTAAATTATGTAGAATGAAAAGAATTAATTTTGAATGTGGGTGTTATATGGTTGTTAAAAATGCCAAATAAAGATTTTTGTAAAATGCCAAATAGGATTTTTTGAAACTGTAACATCATTATTTTTTTACTTTAAGTTTTTTCCCGTATATTAGTTGATTAAGATGATTTTTTTAGTTGTAAACATACTTGATCAGGAACATCTATCTCTTCTATTTTTTGAAACATCCTTATTTAGATTTCTAGATGAATAGTTATATAAATGTGGGTATTGGTGGAAAAGAAACTAGAACTACATTTCAATTTAGGTATGATTTGGGTTGTATTTTTTTCCATTTGGGTTTGTATCTCTTCCGCGTAACTCTAATACATATCATAAGTTAAATCTGATCTATTCATCTTCCAAAATTCAAATGTTTCTCTTATGATCAATTTACAAGATTCATTTCTTGCCTTTTTTATTTTCAATCTTTAATAGCTGTTTTATAAACTTTGTTAAGGATGAAATCATCTTTCAATCTTGTTGCTAGGGTACTCATGATCCAGATTTGTTAGCTCTTATTTGTCCAGATCTAGAGATTCGTCACCTAATCGACTTATCAACTAACTAATTATGTTACTAGAGATTGTAATTCTCCGATTGAATTCCTTATCGAGTTTGTCAAATGGAATTCGTGACTTGCAATGTATATGATTTCATATTCCATTGTGACCAAAACCATAGACATATCTTCCTGCTGCCAATAAAGATTCAAATTTTTACTGAGTTTATCTATTTTTCAGGTACATAATGGAACGACCATGTTTCAGTGATCACGTGGAGGCAATCAAATTCATCTGTAAAGATTTTTTGGTTTGAGCTCTTCAAGAAACATATAGACAATCTAAAGATGAATCATAGAGTAAGTTCCACACTCCATAATCCAAATCATGCAACAAGTAAAAGATTGCTAGATTGAATGATATTGATATAATGAATTCATGTATATTATTTTAGGGTACATTTGTTTTGCAATATGATAAATTTGCATGAGTTTCACGCGTGTCATCAACTGAAAATTCTGGTTCAACCAGGAACCTGGAATTGGTAACAAAGCAATAGAAGCAAACAACATGCATCTGTATTTCCCTTGTGGAATCATAATGGGAGCTCTTTCAAATTTGGGCATTTCTTGTGATGTTTCTGCAGATATTTCCAACCTCCCTGCTTGTAAGTTTTAAACTGATTCTTACTCAATATTTATGCCATAAAGCTTGAAATCGAAGAACTTTTTTCATGACCTAATGATATTATAGTTTGCATACATTGATAAATAGGTTCATTTGTGATCCGGATAAAGGTGTAGCAAACACATATGTAACTGTAAGTAACTCTGCAACTGTTGTTTGTATGTTAGCTGTTGACAGTTGAAATCAAACTGTAAAATTGATATTCATGTTATGCACTTATAATATATATATTTTTTCAAAAATATAATCATTATTAATTATATATTATTTTTCGTTTAATTTTAAAGAAGCTTTAATAGGAAGAAGAGATTTTCATTAGGGTGTATTGATGTATTGGTCTTACGGGGTGTTTGTGATTTGGGATTGCTTATTAAAATGCTTATTGACTTATTTGCTTTTCAAAAAGTCAATGAGTTTTAAAAAGTTTTTGGCAAACACATAAGTTATAATATTTTGAGTTAGCTTTCAAACCCATCTGACCTCACTGGAAAATTCAAATATTTCGATTTTTAGCAATTTTTACAAAACTGTTGCTCAATCAGCACCTTTTTGTGAATACTAGTTTTGTATTGCATGTTCAAAGATCTTATTCATCACTAAAAATCAAGGAAAAATTAACTTGAGCACTTAACATCATGTATTAAGAGGTAAAAAAAATATCTTGATTCAAAAGCCTTTGGAACATGTTGCAAAAATTCTCAAAGTAACATCAATAATTTTACCAAAATCACAAGAATCAAGTTTTCTCCATAATTGTTTGAGCCTTTAGGCATGTTTTTCGACATCAAAAATAAGAAAACAATTTTTCATTGTTATTAAATTGTTTGAAGTTGCATTCTAGAAATTTTCAGCTCAATATATATATTTTTTATTTTTACATGAAAATAATAATAAAATAGAGTGTTAAAGCATATAAAATACTTAAACTTGTAAATAAATTCTGGAAATATTTGTGGATGACCCTTTAAGTTAATAAACATCTCTCATAAAGTTTCATCGATTTTTGTTACTGTTTAGTATGGTTTTTAATTTTCTTTTTATTTAGCTCTAATAAATCATAAAACCACTTTAGGGAATGTGAAAATATTATTTCGTATTTTTCGCAGCTTGTACCTTATATTTAAGACTCCGAAAAATATTTTGGGAATTTTTGAAAATGTATATCTATTTTTCTTGAATTTTTGTGTTTATAATGGACTAAAAACAGGAAAAATAGTTTTACTCATCGAAAATTCATGAAAATTTACCAGAAACTCTTATAATATGTTAGGATGATAAATAAAATTTTTGATGATTTTTATCTTCTGTATGCTATTTTTCCTCTATTTTCCCAAGATTTAATACACTTAAATGTACAAAAATCAGAAAAATTGTGTTAAACTTTTTGAAAACACATATTAATATTTTTCCTAGATTATGTACACTGTAAAATAGTTACACAAAAATTACAAGAATATTTCATGATAATTTACTATTTTTCCATGATTTTATGATTATTCATGGAATTAAATGGTGAAAAATAGTTAGACAAATCAATAATTCAAGAAAATTTATCTTAAGGTGTTTGACTTCAATTAAAAATGAAATACAAAGTTTGGGAAAGTTTAGAACTAAATTGATTTCGTTTTGATTATTTAATCATTGGAACACCTCTAAAATGTTAAATATTAACATTTCAATAATGGAAATTTTCCACTTAAATTGTTATATAACAATTGATTCTTTGAAACTTAATTTCCACAGAAAAATGTTTGTAACTTATCAATATTAAATTTTGACACATTATTGGCATAATTCTATTGTAGTAGTAAGTATACTAGTATTAGATTTCAATTAGAGACTCATTAGTGTGTAACATCGTTGTAGGAAAACGATAGTGGTACGAGTGGAGCGTAGATCAAGGCATCATTTGCATCATCTCAATGTATTGTGAGTATTCACCACTCCCCTATTTTCGGTTTTTAAATGTTTTGGGGTGGAAAAGCATGTCCTAAACTATTTATGCTCATTGTATTTATTTGACTCGTATAAACTTGGTTGCTATATTTTGCATATTGTGAGTATTCACGCACTCCCCTATTTTCAGTTTTTATGTTTTGGGGTGGAAAAGCATGTCCCGAAAAACTATTATTTGAATGTTGTATTTAAATTGATTTGTATCAAACATGATTGCTATTTTATTCTATGTCTCTCTATGTATGTCTATGCAACACGGAACATGAGAACTTATCGTACTAAGGCCCTTCCCTTATCTCTAACCATTAACTCTTTGAGCCAATGGTCATTATGGATAGCGCTATTAGGAATTGACAACTCCTCACTCGCCCTATTGCTGGAGTGCATGATACCATATTCATCTATGGAACGATAAGCATAGATCTTGATAGGGCTTCAGTCATAGGTTTGGTTGAGAACTCATTGTTTGCTCATACACATACAAACTCGTTACTCATTATAGCAATAAACTTGTTATTTATTATGGCAATAAACTCGTTTATCAATTATAGCAATCAACTTTGTTTCTCATTATAGCAATGAACTTTGTTTCTCATTATAGCAATGAATTCTATTTCTCATTACAACAACGAACTTTTACTACTGGAAACTTATATACATGTTTTAGCAATGAAATTGTTTGCTCATTGTAGCTACGAAATTGACTGCTCATTTTTAGCAATGAAACTTGTTTACTCGTTTGAGTAACGAATTTTATCTTCCATGAGAATATGAACGTTGCATCTCATTTGGGCAACATACTTTATCTCTCATGATGACAAAGAACTTTGTTTTTTTGTACAAACTTATTTTCTCAATTTAACAATATACTTTTATTATTGGAAACTTTATCAAAACATTGATTTCAATTCATGGAACCAATATTATTTTGTTTTATCTGTGAGTACACACCAACTATTTTTATAGTTGACGCTCGTTTTACATGCTTTTTCAGGAATCATCAAGTAAGTGGCACTTAGGGACACATCACTTTTAGGAGCATTCGCATGTGTTGTATTTCAATTTACATTGTAATTTCTTTTAAAATTTGTTCAAACCCATTGTAAATTTGTAATGATTTTTAATACTATGGTTGGTGTTATCTTTTAACTTTTGCTATGAAACCCTTTATACTGCCACGCCTCGTGTTTCCGCTTTAGCGGGGTGTGACATAAGGTGTGGTGGAGTTTTTACCACTGACAAGCTTAGGTGGCAACTTTTATCGACGGTGAACACGCCCCCTCAACCCACTTTTTTTTGTTGGTGGAAAATCTCATTCACCGATGGAAAATATAAGGCAAAAATGCCCCCCCCTCTCTATTTACCATAAACACCACCCCTACCCTTTTACATTCAATGACAGTTAGTGAGGTGGAGGATGGTGGAGCTTAGGTGGAGTGTGGTGCCATCAGCACCACACCTTTTAGTCTAATTAATTAAGGAGTATATTTGAAAAGCTAGTTGTTAGCTGAAAAGCTAGCTGATAGCTGAAAAGTTAGCTGTTAGCGGAAGTGCTAGTTGATGTAAGTTAAATTGTATTACAGAAGGTGTCGTATTTATCTCTTTAAATCCTGAATTTTAATCATTTTTGTCATTTTTTTTTCTTTCTCGTTCTCTTATTTCATCACCTAATTCACTACTAAGTTTTGTTTAACCTCTGTTTCATCTCTCGTTCGAAGGATTTTACTAATCTCATAACAAGAAGCTTGGAAGAACAAACCATAAAGGGTAAATTATGTAGATGAAAAGAATTATTTTGAATGTGGGTGTTATATGGTTGTTAAAATGCCAAATAAAGATTTTTGTAAAAATGCCAAATAGGAATTTTTGAACTGTAACATCATTATTTTTTTACTTTAAGTTTTTCCCGTATATTAGTTGATTAAAGATGATTTTTTTAGTTGTAAAAATACTTGATCAGGAACATCTATCTCTTCTATTTTTTTGAAACATCCTTATTTTAGATTTCTAGATGAATAGTTATATAAATGTGGGTATTGGTTGGAAAAGAACTAGAACTACATTTCAATTTAGGTATGATTTGGGTTGTATTTTTTTCCATTTGGGTTTGTATCTTCTCTTGCCGTAACTCTAATACATATATAAGTAAATCTGATCTATTCATCTTCCAAAATTCAAATGTTTCTCTTATGATCAATTTACAAGATTCATTTCTTGCATTTTTATTTCATATCTTTAATTAGCTGTTTTATAAACTTTGTTAAGGATGAAATCATCTTTCAATCTTGTTGCTAGGGTACTCATGATCCAGATTTGTTAGCTCTTATTTGTCCAGATCTAGAGATTCGTCACCTAATCGACTTATCAACTAACTAATTATGTTACTAGAGATTGTAATTCTCCGATTGAATTCCTTATCGAGTTTTGTCAAATGGAATTCGTGACTTGCAATGTATATGATTTCATTATTCCATTGTGACCAAAACCATAGACATATCTTCCTGCTGCCAATAAAGATTCAAATTTTTACTGAGTTTATCTATTTTTCAGGTACATAATGGAACGACCATGTTTCAGTGATCACGTGGAGGCAATCAAATTCATCTGTAAAGATTTTTTGGTTTGAGCTCTTCAAGAAACATATAGACAATCTAAAGATGAATCATAGAGTAAGTTCCACACTCCATAATCCAAATCATGCAACAAGTAAAAAGATTGCTAGATTGAATGATATTGATATAATGAATTCATGTATATTATTTTAGGGTACATTTGTTTTGCAATATGATAAATTTGCATGAGTTTCACGCGTGTCATCAACTGAAAATTCTGGTTCAACTCAGGAACCTGGAATTGGTAACAAAGCAATAGAAGCAAACAACATGCATCTGTATTTCCCTTGTGGAATCATAATGGGAGCTCTTTCAAATTTGGGCATTTCTTGTGATGTTTCTGCAGATATTTCCAACCTCCCTGCTTGTAAGTTTAAACTGATTCTTACTCAATATTTATGCCATAAAGCTTGAAATCGAAGAACTTTTTTCATGACCTAATGATATTATAGTTTGCATACATTGATAAATAGGTTCATTTGTGATCCGGATAAAGGTGTAGCAAACACATATGTAACTGTAAGTAACTCTGCAACTGTTGTTTGTATGTTAGCTGTTGACAGTTGAAATCAAACTGTAAAATTGATATTCATGTTATGCACTTATAATATATATATTTTTTCAAAAATATAATCATTATTAATTATATATTATTTTTCGTTTAATTTTAAAGAAGCTTTAATAGGAAGAAGAGATTTTCATTAGGGTGTATTGATGTATTGGTCTTACGGGGTGTTTGTGATTTGGGATTGCTTATTAAAATGCTTATTGACTTATTTGCTTTTCAAAAAGTCAATGAGTTTTAAAAAGTTTTTGACAAACACAATAAGAACTTTGGGTTTTTGGCAAAAAGTTAATGACTTATTTGCTTTTCAAAAAGTCAATGAGTTTTGAAAACAACTTTTTACTCCCTTCAAATAAGTCATTGTTAACAAGGGGGTGTTTGGGATTGCTTATTTAACTCAATAAGAACTTTGGGTTTTTATCAGATCCAGTATAGGTCGTATGAAGGTATATTAATTATTTCAATGGTGTATGACATGCGAACCAAATTAAGAGTTGTTATTGTTGGGGACAAAATTATTATCTCAAAAGTGCATTGTTAGAATCTATAAACCTATTGAATGATATCTTGAGTTTTCTTGGTGAGGTTCATGTTAAAAGTACAAAGTGCCAAAATGAGATATATTTTCAAAGTACAATATGCAAACATTCGATCATTTTATTATCATGCTTTGTAATACAAAAAATAGTTATGATGGAATAGAATCACAAAAGGTCTAATGAAATCCAAATTGTTATAGTAACTTTTTGTATATATACACATCCAAGTTTTAACTTCTTTTATGTATGTCTAAGGGGATCTTTGGCAAAGCTTATTTAAAAAAACTTATGTCTTTTTGACTTATAATTTATTTGGAGGAAATAAGGAGTTTTTAATAAGTAAGTGTTAGGTTACTTATCATTTTTTGACTTATTAGAAGTTGCCAAGCAAGTTGTTTTTTACCAAACATTTTTTTTATTTATACCGATATCAAACCGGTAATAAGTCAAAAAGCTTCAATTTTTTAAGCTTTGCCCTAAGTTACATATTTGTATGCGAAGTATCAAGATCCAACAACACATAAAAAAAAAAAAAAAAAAAAAAAATCCACCATGCTGAGGATGGAAGTACACTAGTTTGACTTAAGGCCAGGGGTTTACTTGTATTGTATGAAATCAAAAACGGATAGCCGGTCATCGTTTCCTTTCATTTTGTCGACGATGGAGACCTGGTTCGTGGTAGTCGTGTCCCTCTGCGTCGCCGCCCTTATCAGATCCCTACTATTCCACCGGAGAAACGGTAAGAAGCTACCTCCTGGGCCGTCTTTCATTTCCTCCAACTTCTCACTGCTAACAAGGTCCCGCTTGGAGTTCGAAACGACCCTCATAAATCTCAAATCCAGGTATGGATCACTCATCACTCTTTATATCGGTTCTCGTCCTTCCATTTTCGTCGGCAGCCATTCTCTCGCCCACCAAGTTCTCATTCAAAAAGGCGCAGTCTTCTCCGATCGCCCTAAATCCTTCGCCATGATGAACATCTCCTCAGCCTCCTACGGCCCTACTTGGCGCCTCTTCCGACGCAATCTCGCCTCTGAGATTCTGCATCCCGCTCACATCAAGTCCTACTCGTGGGCTCGCAAGTGGGTCCTTCATATCCTCATCGGTCGTCTCCAGGAGCAGAAGGAGGTTGCAGGAATCCAGGTGGTTGATCATTTTCAATACGCCGTGTTTTGTTTGTTGGTCCTGATGTGCTTTGGAGAGAAGCTTGACGAGAATCAAATCAATGAAATCGCACGAGTACAGCGTGATATGCTGTTGAGAGTCGGGTCGGGTCGATTTACCGTGTTGACTATGCTCCCAAGATTGGGGAAGATATTGTTTAGAAACAGATGGAAAGAGTTCGAGCAATTACGCGAAGATAAAGAACAGGTGTTGATTCCGTTCATCAAATCTCGAATCGAAGCAAACAAATCTGGGTCTCAATTTCGAGACGAGCAAATCGTGGCGTACGTTGACACTCTGGTAAATCTACAGCTTCCCGAGGAAGAAGGTAACAATGAAAATGGTGGAAAGCTGACCCACAAGGAGATGGTGAGCATGTGTAGCGAGTTCCTTAACGCCGGCACAGACACCACCTCTACTGCTCTACAATGGATCATGGCGAATCTGGTGAAGTATCCTCACATTCAGAGCAAGCTTTACGATGAAATCATTTCAGTCGTCGGACCACCACCTCCACCGCCGCCGCCAGGTGCAGAACCGGAATCTGTTATAAACGAAGAGGAATTAAAGAAAATGCCATACCTGAAGGCGGTGGTTTTGGAAGCATTGAGGAGACACCCACCAGCACATTTCGTTCTTCCCCATAGGGTCACAAAGGAGGTAGAACTGCTAGGATTTACGATTCCAGAGGGTGCGAGCATTAATTTCATGGTGGCTGAGATGGGTCTGGATCCAAAGGTCTGGGAAGATCCCATGGAGTTCAAGCCAGAGAGGTTCATCAATGGTGATTTCGATATAACTGGAAGTAAAGGGATAAAGATGATGCCATTTGGTGCAGGAAGAAGGATATGTCCAGGGTTTGATTTGGCTCTGCTTCATTTGGAATATTTCGTTGCCAATTTGATTTGGTATTTCCATTGGAGTCCTCCCGATGGTTATCATGTTGATCTCTCTGAGAAGTTGGAGTTCACAGTCGTCATGAAGAACCCCCTGAGAACACAAATCTCTTCTAGAGTCTAGACAAAATGGCAATATGTCTAATTGTCTATAACGTACAGAATTACCTAAATAAGGAATGTATAAGTTCTCTTGTAATGCAAATCTATCTGATATTTATGTGATTCAACTACAATTATGTGACTCTATCTGTATATCTTGAAGTAGTCAATAAATCAACCCTACAATAAAATATAATTTCAAGAGTTGAAGATTCTCAAATTCATTCACCACCAATCAAAGGCATTTTCCACTAAAGACTTTTAAAGATGACAAAGGAACACAGGAACACCAAATTTTGGACAAATAGTCAAAAGCTCACAGGGTGAGTGAATATACGTAGGAGACAAGGTGAAGGAGTAGGTTTGTAGAATCATAGACAATGCAATTTTGGCCTCATTAGTTGCAAAATTGGATCCTACACAACTTCGAGGCCCCAAACCAAAGGGAATAAACATTGCAGGGTTGTTGTTAGTAGCTTTAGCAACTCCTTGAGAAAATCTCTCTGGTTTGAATAAATGAGCATCTTCTCCCCATATTTGAGTGTCGTGATGAACAAATAAAATAGGGAAATTAAGTCTTACATTGCCCGGAATTTTGAGTGCTCCCAAACTAACATCATGCTTTGATTTTCTTATAAGTAAAAGTACAGGAGGAAATAGTCTTAGGGTTTCGTTAATGATCATGGTTATCTGCAATCCGATTGAGAGAGAGAAGGTTCAAAACTCGAAAGTGTGAATTAGGGACAATTTGGAATGAATGCTTAATGTTAAATGGGAAACAATTAATTAAAATTACCATTTTCATTCTGGAAAGAACATCGGAATTAGGGTTCTTTTTGTCGAATAACTTAAAGCTCTCTTCCCTTGCTTTTTCTTGATAATCTGTATGAACTGCAAGAAGGAAAATCGACCATGCTAGCAATCCTGTTGTGGTCTCATGTCCCGCGATGTAAAAGTTCTTGAACTCATCGATTATATCTTGTATTGTAACTTTGTAGCCATGGTCAATGCTATGATTAGCCTTCATAAGCGATCCAAGAAAGTCAACACCAAAGTTATCTACTTCGCCACTTGCTTCCTTCTCTCTTCTCTTCACAATGTCCATGATAGATTCTCGCATCATATGATCAATTATTTTAGATTCCGCATCATCCTTTGTCCTAAAAAATGACAAATACAATATACATACGTTATTACAAAAGGAAAACCCTAAACGTAATTTTTAATGCAAAGATTGACGAATGCCAAAAGTTACTTGAAGATGGGAAGTCGTGTCTTGTATGCATTTCTAGCAATTATAGTGGTCAACTTCCTGACCATTTGAAAAATGTATTTCCCTTCAACGTAACTACTTCCGAAAGCTGTTCTAGAAATGATATCTGAAGATAACAACTTAAACTCTTCATAAACCTCTATCTCTTTTCCTTCGTATTGTTTCCACCTTTCTAGCATCATATCAACACTTGCAACCATTGTTGGTGTCATATCCTTCAAACACATTGCTTGATTAACTTACTAATTGCATATTAATAAGCTTATTGTACATGTTCGATACAAAATTATCGTTTTATTTATGTTTAAGATCGATGTTAGTGTCTTAGTGACTTACTTACCCTTAGACTATTGGCATGAAAAACATGGTTTGCGAGTTTTCTCATCTTTATCCATTTTTCACCACTTGATACCACAAGACCATCACCTAATAGTATCTTAAAATACCCTTCAACATCGTCTTTAGGAAAAGCTCCACTTTTGTCATTCATAACTTCTTTCAGAATCTCAAGATCCGTTATCACCAACTCGGGTTTTGGACCATTCCAACGCACAAAAGTATTGCCTAATTAAATTAACATAGAAGCAAGAAAATCATCTTAACCCTACAAATCATAAACAAAAACTATTATATTCATATATAGTACGTTTTATAACTTCTTGTTACCATATGTGTTGATCCATGAGAAGATGTGAGGTTGAACTTTTGGTCCAATATGGAGACCTAAACCTTCCATTGGTTTTCTGTCGGTGGATTTCTTGATGTTCATGATCTCTTTGGTGTTTCCATGCAAGAATCTGTAAGGAGGGCCATTGATTCCATGTGATCTCATCTTGCTTTGAATCCAAATTGGTTTCCACCATACTTTGTATAAGAACTTAATGAGGTAAGCACAACAGAGAGAAATTGAAAGAACAGTGAGTGAAAGAGAAACGGGTTTCATTTTTGTTGATTCAATTTATAAGAATCAAATGAAATTTGAGAGTGTAATTATAAGTTAGGAAGTTGATAAATTAAAAGAACACCATGGGTAATTATGGCTTTGTGTAAAACGAGTTTTCTCTCTTTTTCTCTCTCTCTCAGACATGTCACACTTATTGGATGATTTATTGTGTTAAAATATTATCCATATCTTGCTGTTTAGATTGAATTATTTTTAAAAGATATTGGTGGGCCTAATTATGATTACACAAATGTATTTACCAGAGGCGTGGTTAAATAGATTTAATAATTAATCATATTTTTTTATAATACAAACAACATAATTCGTCCAATCAAATATTATTTAGATATTAACCTTCTTACATCATTTTCTTCTCGCCCTATTGACCCAATTGAGTCATTAATTTAATAGAACGATATCATGTAATTAATTATACAGTTATAAAATATATTAATATATATCTTTTAGATTTTGGACAAGATCGTATAAACAAGTTGACATCATTTATGTAAGATTCATATAAAACGTTGCCTTTATATAAGTTAGACAAACAATTTTTTTTTTTATTACAGAAAACATGTATGAAAACAAGTATGACATTTTATAAGAATCTTTTACTTAGGATTAATCCAAACTAGATCTAGAAAAGAGTGTGTTTGATACCAATTGATTTGCCTGTGAGACAATTTTCTTTCTTTGGGAGTTATTCGCATACTTGGTTTCCAATTCTTTAAAATTATGAAGCATTATCATTTTTCTCGTCCATATCTTTTTAGCTATAGAAAAATCAATCATTTTCTTTATTCCGAAAGGTTCTGGAATATCAAATTAATTACAAATGAATTAACTAATGTTCAACCTATTTAATTAATTAAAACTAATTAATTAATTGCAAAATAACTTCCAATCAATTGATTAATTCATAATTAATTAACAATTTGTTTTCCCTAAATTCCTTATTACTTATTGTGCCATGATGCCAACTCAAAAGTACCATACATTAGAAATAATATTAATTAGTTAATGACATTGGACATTTAATCCAACATCTTATTTATTAACTACATAAAATTATGCATTCATAGGCTGGGAGCCGGTAGCTTTGTAACATCCAGTTTCGAGATTTTTTTTGATTTTAGAGTAATGGACTGTAATTTGATTGAATAAATGTCTTGGGCTTCAAAGGTAAAATGGGAATATGATATTTCAGAATTCTTGCATGAATTAATGAATTTAGGTCAGTATGTTTTAAGTCAAATGTATTTGGATAGAATTGCAAGGCTCGTTAATACCTTCACATACATATAAAGATCACCAAAAATGAAGCTGGAACGAAGAAGTTATGGTTGTTTGAAGTTGGATTTAGGAAGTTATGCCCTACGCCGAGCGTAGGACAGTCTCCTACACTAAGCGTAGGAAAGGAAATGTGGACAGGGACTTAATGATCTATGTTAGGCGTAGAATAGGCTACACCGAGCATAGCCACACTGGACCAAAACCCTAAATATAGGGTTGTGAGACATATTTAATGGCTCTAACTCCTTAGGATCCTCCCCATGCCCAGCCTCCACCGTCCCAAAACGTCCCCTTGAAACCCTAACCACATGTGAGTTTTGAGCCCTTGGAGTGACTTGTATGCTCTTTTGATGGAAGAAGGTGTTTGTAGAACCACGTAGGAGCTTCAAGTTGTATAGATATGGTATTTACAAGTCAACATCCATCCCTAAGAGGTATAAAGTTTTCATCTTGATGGTTCTTCATGCTATTTCTAATTTAGTTATCTGGTTTAATGCATTTTGTCCCCATAATCTTGGTCCATGTGAGTCGAGGTTATTCCATATCATTTGAATGTCATTTTATGATGTATTTGAGGTTATAGAGTCATAAAAATGAGAGATTTGACACTTTCATCCATCCATGCTTGAGTTCTTGAGCAAAAGTTGGATTTATGGACTTAAGGTTTGGTTTTGTACTCTTTCTAGCCATGCAAGTGGATAGAGTCAAAGATTTTATCCATTAAGATATCTATTTGATTCAGATATGAAAGTTTGAGGGGCTAGTTTTCTATATTAAGAGCTTAATATGAATTTTTGTTGTTAGGGGGCTATACTGAGCATAAATATCTCTATGTCGAGCGTAGCATGAAAATCCCTAGTTTTTCCACCTGGAGCTCTACGACGAGCGTAGAGCTAGTGCAATGCACTATGCCGAGTGTAGGTCAACTGAAGGTTGACCGTTAACTTTTGACCAATTTGACTTTTGGTCAACGGTGTTAGGATTTAGTCTTGGAGGGGCAAAATAGTATTTTGCCCAAAGAAGGACTAATTTGTTAGGAACCGGACCGGGTACACGCAACGAAAACACACTATCACACACACACAAACTCACGAAAATAAAGCAAGAAGAACACAAGGATTTTACGTGGTTCGGATTCGGTGCAAATCCTACGTCCACGGGCTGCAACTAGAGAATTTTATTAAAACTCACAAGATTACAATTGGCTTGACATTCTACACTTGATGTTCTCTCAAGTTTTTGCACACCAAATATGCAAAACATACATGCATATATATAGGTGAATGTTTGCCATGTGAAAACAGAAAGAGTTGTAACCAATTTAAAGTCTACCAACTTCAAGTTTGAACATGTTGAATGCACCACTTATTTTCCAACTTTCAGTTTGAATTTGATTCTTTTATTTCACATGCATAGCCACATGTTTTCAACCTTTCATATTTTACCTAACAATCTCCCACTTGAAAGTTTGAACAACATGGTCCGTCTCTGTCATCCAACTCCAGTAATCTTAAAACAACCAAGTCTTCCAAGCCTCCAGTTCCTAAGAACAAGCTAAACTTAGTCCCATTTCTCTAATTGCAGCCGCCCCTCATCTTCAAGTACTAGAAGGGCCAGTTGAAGCTCCCACTAGCTCCAACTCAGTCGTGGCTAATCCCACCACCGACTCATCCTCTGTCTCAACCGGTTTGGACACTCCACCAGATCCAGAGATACACCGAGGACCACTAACACTCTCCAAACTTTGCAAACTTCCAACAAGAGAGAATTTTCCAGTCTTAGTCTTCAAAACCCAACGGCTCTTTGTAACTGTACCCGGAACACACCCCGTGCTCCCACTGTCACAGAATCCCCTGAATGGTTTAGAATTTCCGACTCGTTCAGCTAACATCCCCTTGGCTCCAGAATTCATGTTTGCAAAATGAACTCTCTTAGCAGTAGATTTAGCGAACTAGATTTTGTTTTGCTTAATCGGGATGGTCATACTTCCCTCAGCAGGTACCTCAACCATATACAATGACCCACGCTTCATACCTTGAGCAATCACCGAATTACCATTGACCACCATCCATTTACCACCACCAAACCTTACTTCCAGTCCTTGTTTATCCAGCTGACCAACAGAAATCAATTTTTTCTTCAGCTCCGGAATAACCCTGACATTCTTCAGGCTCCATGTAGTTCCCAATGAAGTAACTAGATCAATATCTCCCATGCCCGTTACTTGAAACATCTCGTCATTTGCTAACCGTACCTTTCCAAAATCTCCTTTTTTTAGATTCACCATCGTTTCCCCGTTGTCCATGGTGTGAAACGAAGCCCCTGAATCCATGACCCAAGAGTCCACAGAACTTTCCATATTGAGTATCAGTGTATCATCCTCAGACACACTCTCAGCACCAACAATGTTTAATTCTTTCTTTGGACATTGACTCTTAACATGTCCCACCTCTTGGCAGTTCCAACATTTCACATTCTTCAAAGTTCTAGAAGAACTTTTTCCCCGACTCCCACTGCTCCTGCTATTCCCTCTACCTCTTCCGACATTTAATAAATCAGAAGAAGAAGATCCACCTTGATTCTTGCGTCTGATATCCTCGCCTAGAACCAAATCTCTAATCCCTTCAAAAGTCATACCACTGGTCCCCACGGAACTCGTAACAGCGGTAACTGTTCCGGACCAGCTATCAGGTAGAGAAGCTAGTAGCAGTGATGCTTGAGTCTCGTTATCAAATTTAATTCCCACAGATGATAATCTGGACAAAATTGAATTTAGATTGTTAATGTGAACCGTAACTGAGCCTTCCTCATTCATCCTTGTAGTGAACAACTCCCTCATCAAGAACACCTTGTTAGCCGCCGATGGTTTCTCATACATATTTGACAGAGCCTCCATCATACCACGTGCCGTGGTTTCATTCATGATGTTGAAAGCAACGCTCTTCGTCAACGACAATGTAATAACCGCCTTGGCTTTCTTGTCCTTTGAGTTCCACGCATCTTCAGCAGCTTTTTCCATTTTCTCCGGTTTGTCTCCGAGTACCATGTCCAAGTCTTTCTGACATAGCAATGCTTCTAATTGCATTTTCCACCAGCTAAAATCAGAACCGTTGAACTTTTCGATTACAACCTTGTCTTCAGCCATTACGACAAACAAGATACAAATCAGGTACACTCGTGCGTGATAAAAAAAAATGATTGTACCCTCCAAACCTCGCTAATCTGGCTCTGATACCAGTTGTTAGGAACCGGACCGGGTACACGCAGCGGAAACACACTATCACACACACACAAACTCACGAAAATAAAGCAAGAAGAACACAAGGATTTTACGTGGTTCGGATTCGGTGCAAATCCTACGTCCACGGGCTGCAACTAGAGAATTTTATTAAAACTCACAAGATTACAATTGGCTTGACATTCTACACTTGATGTTCTCTCAAGTTTTTGCACACCAAATATGCAAAACATACATGCATATATATAGGTGAATGTTTGCCATGTGAAAACAGAAAGAGTTGTAACCAATTTAAAGTCTACCAACTTCAAGTTTGAACATGTTGAATGCACCACTTATTTTCCAACTTTCAGTTTGAATTTGATTCTTTTATTTCACATGCATAGCCACATGTTTTCAACCTTTCATATTTTACCTAACATAATTGTGAACCAAGACTCTTTGAGAGATATTTATTACCTTAATTGTTAACTAGGGTTTCATTATGTGTATGTTTAGAGCGAGGAGACGTCTTTCATCAGCTTCCCAACCTTGTGAGTTGCAGTGTAGTTACTCTGATTAGCGAGGTGAGTTTTCTCACTATACTTTGT